AGTCATCATCTATTCAAATTCCACAAGTCAGCATATTTTCCATCTACTTAAGTCCTACCCCAAGAACTCATGATGCTTCTCTACCTTCTGCGCTATGCAGGTACCTTCTTAATCTATTCTGCATTTGGGCAATCTAAACTATTAGGTTGGAAACTAATTTCTGCAACTCACTATATAAACTTGCTTACATTCAATACGAAGCACTCAAATTTTGCCAGTATGTTGTCTATAACGTAAGCTACAAGGATTGCTGCTGTTCCGCCAAATTCTGACGTCGCAGTGAGGATTACGGTAGGTATATGGTATAAGGGGGGAAATTGCAAATCATTACGGATTTGGCTGAATCTTGCCTAAGGGGTTTTCCGACATGCTAATCACGAATAACATGCTGAACTTGCATGGTAAGAGCTTTTTATAAGATATTCTATTCAAATTCCACAAGTCAGCATATTTTCCATCTACTTATTTACTGATTTTATAAGATTACTGTAGTTTAACAGTTTGCAGTCCCACCTTAAACGATAGAACAGACTTCAATTTAACAAACGAAAATGATATTCGTGTTTAGGAGGTCGAATAACCTCAATATGTGAAGCCTCCGCGTATTTTGACGTTACAACTCCTTAGTCATTGATGGTTATCCCCGCCAGCCTTGTGCATTTCAAATTTGTGAGGACGCTAGAACTCTACTTGCCTTTCAAATCTATCCCTTTTCTACTGAGCCAAATTAGTCAACCTCGAGTAATAGTTCACATACAGTTTCGGACCATTATGCACCATGTGAGTCGCAAACGGCTTCATTTTTTTAAAATCTCATAAATCCTCAAAATCTACTATTTTTGGAAAAATGTTTGTAATTTTCTTATTTCTATTTGAAAAATCAAACAGTTTGTGCATGGTTGTAGCACACATGAAATTTACATATAGCAAAAGTTTGAGTGCAACATGTTCAAAGAGAGTTGAGTTATGGAACCAGTTGCAAAACTTAGTTTCCAACCTTATACTTTCATTTGTTATTGGGTAATGTCATTACTGATGCAGTCTTTTAGAGTAACACAAAAGGCCGATCGTAGCATTCTCATTACGCGCACATGGGTAACACTCATACCATAAAGTGCTGCCAGACGAATGATCCGATAGCTTTGGAACTTGAGCTTGCATTGGCATTTGTCAGTCGCGCGGGATCCCTTTCAAGGCTCTATTTCAAAACACTAGCTATGCTCATCATACTTGCGATTTTCTCTTGTAGGCCTCGTTCCGCGGTGATGTGACTATGTATGTAAGTATGAGGTTGTCTTTTCTAGCCTTCATCATCAATACATATGATTTTTAAATTTTGTTTCTATACCCTCCATAAATTTTGTCTTTTTGGTGTTGAGCTTCAGCCCGTACAACCCCGGCTTGTCTTTCCAATTTTTTAGCTTTTGCAGCTCTTTATGGTACTCTCTATTCAAACACGTACACGTCATCTGCGTAGATAAATGTTAAAGGTGGTTTACGCTTGAGAGCCCTACACTGTGTTTATCACTACGATGAACAAAGAGACCGAGCCCAGGTGCAAACCTACGACTGAGATTCTCTAGATTGCATTGCAGTTATTTGTATGCGACCTAAAGCGTCGTGTCAGATTAACATTATTCACTGGCCTTACCCTTTGCACCTTCTGTTCCCGTGATTCCTATGACTATGTGAGGCACTTTATCGAAAGCTTTCCCAGGTCCAGGAAGGTTAGGCTGCGTTTATACTGATCCCGAAGTTCGGGAACAGTTCCAGCACAGCGCTCATTTCAAGGGCTGTGTTGGAAATGTTCCGGATCAGTGTGAACGCAGCCTTATGTGCAGCTTTTTTCGCTTCTCTCTGTATTTCCATCATACACAAAATTGGATAGCGTTGGTTAAATGCTACTCTCGCAGGACTGTACTGATTCGGTGACAACTCCATGATATTTCGAAACCGCGTTTCGAGTATTCCTTATACCTTTAGAGTGTGGCTCGTTAGTCGGATTGGTCGGGAAGATGTCAGACAATGTTACCCCTAGTGGTATAGGTCATTTTTTTCCATATCGGTGTCGTTGTGCTGGTATACCAACTACGATGCAACTATTACCCAAAATGTTCACGTACTTTCGAAAACTCGTCGTATGGACCAGTTGCTTTGCCATTCTCAGTCCTTGTCGCAGCAAGCCTTAGGCTCCCGCCAGAGTGCCGAAGTTATGCCAGCGCTACGCCAGCATTTCGATCGATACACGTGTATTTCGTTGGGGACGTCAGCTAGCCCCGCCCCAACGAAATAAACGTGTATCGATCGAAATGCTGGCGTAGCGCTGGCATAACTTCGGCACTCTGGCGGAAGCCTTACTACTTCTTTTGTAACTAGCATAGGTCATTTGCACAGCATCTGCTCTTGAGATGGAGTTAAGCAGCTAAATGGCGGCAATTCCACTCAATCTTTCGTTGAGGTCGTCGCCTTTTTTCGACGTCCTACCAAATTTGTCGTTACGAAAAGAAAACGCTTCATATCCTTCGTGAACTCCGCCCCTCTTCTCGCTACAGATATACTCCACGTTCTCCTTTCTCGAGACACCAATCTTTAGTTTTGCTTTTTATGTGCACTTGCTTTGTTTTCTTTGTAGAGCGAGCTAGGGCGAGGCCGCCTTGAAAATTCTCAGCAGGAAGGTCCAAACGCCCAAGGTATGCTACGGCAGTCAGATAAGATCAGCATTTGATACTACTCATGGTGATTTAGATCGATTTTAAACAGCCAAGCCAAGATCATCAGTACTCCTAAGAAGTGAAACCAAATAGGATGCTATCAGCATTTTGAACACTCTATAGTCTTAATTCTAAAATTATGATCCATTGTGTCCGCTAATTTGTCTTCATATCCCTTAAAGGCAGCGTCCCGGCAGATTTTCCATTTCCATCTTTTTGCATGTTTTGGGCCTTTTCGACCCGTGGACTCCGATGAAATTTGAAAAGGATGAAAAGACCTTTCCAGGGCATTTACCCAATTTCCAAAAGGCAGCTCGAACGAGAATTTCAACGGAAACTTAGGAGGCCCCCGCACGAAGATCGCTGCATGTAATTTTGCTTTTGCCTCCGATAGACTACGGTAAAACCTACAATTTGCCCTCTGCAACACAAGCGGAAAGTGAAGGTTCATTCGTCAGCTATGAACATGGTATTGGGAACGCTCCCAGCACAAATTATCCACTGATACAACTGAACAACAAACGCCTTGCAGGCTGATGATCAATGAGATTATGAGAGGGAGTGAGGAGTTTGAGCTGAACCTGAACAATGATGTGCCCGGCTGACGGGACTGTAGCATAACAAGGAACAATGCAATCAACACTTCCCAAAAACGACTTCTATTAATGTACAGTAACATCTAGAACACCAAATCTGAGAAGGGGACGACTCAATCTCCATGTAATTGGCGATTTGCATCAAAATTAGAGCGGTAACAATATTGCACATAAGCATTACTATGCTCTCAAGCATACTACAAACGATACAAGACCATATCTTTTTACTTGCAGTCTGCTTGTTCTACGATTCGACGCTTACCCAATGAGATTCCACACAGTACGATTTGCCCATTCCTACTCGACCATTGCCGTACCCTGCCTCAGCGACTTCGGAAGTTCCTGCAACCTAAATGCATTTCGGGCGCGCACCAATTCTGTCAGCAGCCTCGTCTCGGGCGGATGGGTGGGTCCTAAGCTGACGAAAGACCGAAATGGTCAAAACAGTGCCAAGCACGCGCCTCACGAAAACCCCTCCCCGCATGCTTGGCACACGACCAGCGTGTTGCGAGATTGCAAAAATCACTTTGGATAGCATGCGCAGTGCGGGGAGAGCAGTCGTGCGGTCCCGCTCCGAACGATAAAAAGTCGTCCGAGCACGCGCCGATCCGATTGCGCGCCTGTTCAAGGGCTATCTTCTTGGCCCAGGGTGAACATTAACCAGCCGGGCTGCACCTGGAGGTCAGTGGGATGATCAACCCCAATATAGCAATATCCCCAGGGCGCGAATCTACCGGTACACTGCCTTTGAGGACGGTCAATGCGAGATTAAAAGCAGTGAGTCGGCAAAAAAAACCGTATCAGATTTTGATAGTACCAGGTAGTAGACCCATCAAATACACCGCAGTACCAATCCCACTTTTCAAATTATGCGCTAAGTCCTGTGAAAAGCTTCAAATCTCCATCACCCTGCCCACCATTGAGTAGGCGTTATTGGTGGAAGTTTGGAGCGGCTTTCGGGGACTCAACGCACGATTTAGAGAGTGGGGTTAGAGCTACGGTGTACTTGGGAATTCTCTTAACACTATCAAAATCTGACAGGGGTCCATTTTGCCAATACTGCCTTCAAATAGCAAGATTTCGACGCGATGCCATAGTAATACAAAAGTCTTAACATACTTTCATTATGTTTTTTGGAAGATTTAACCCCAATTTCAAGTTCAGCCTAAAGCATCCAAAGCATCCACGGGAATGTGCTATCTTAAGCCACTCCACCTTTTCAGGGTAATTTCTCGCTTCAAAGTAACCTTTTCCAGCGGAACATGAGAAAACACACAAATGAGGCAACGATGCGCGCATTGAGATTTCACATCCTTTCGCCCAAACCTTTTGGTAGTCAAACCAATAGCATGTACCACGGAAGACTTAAAAACGTACTACCTGTTTCTGTTATTTTGGTTGTCATTTTATTAGGCCCTTTCATAAGTTTGTAGAGTTTTCAGAACAAAAGAGGAAATTTAGAACTCATACAGTACTTTCTTGCGCACAATCTTGTGTTAAAGTACCGTCAAATTTGATTTGTTGACAATACATTTTTAGGAACATCAATCAACAGCATTGCTCAAAAATCCCAACTACATCAGACTCGAACTTCGCTCATCAAGGACGACGATGGAAGCATGTTCTTATCATTAATGTACGGTATCGTGCCGTGACTGTAGTTACAGAATAGGCAATATTGGTAAATATTTATTCATTCAATAGCATAACTGATGCCTTCCGTAATGGCAGTTTGTAGTTTGGCCTTCAATATATGCCGTGTCGGGTAAGAAGGCAAATCAAGGCGATTGAAACACGTATGCGCTCTGGAAAAAAATGCCGTTTGAAAAATAATGTATCAAGAAATGGAAAAATTGCCAAACCTTGGAAGAGCTGACTCTTCACCCCATTTTTCTATTGTAAAACGTTTTGGTCCATTACTTCCACGTAACATTGCAAAACCTTCAAACGGAATGCTCGAAGTACCGGTGACAAACTGAAAAAATAATTTTTTGAGGACTAAAGAGTCAATTTTATGCTTCAGAGCTTACGTACTTGTAACAGTTTTAGACGATCAGCATTTGACATTTGAGCTACTCGGTCCCAGAACCATTCTATAACCACATGTTCGTCAAAGTAACCACCCTGAAAATAATAAAAAAATCATGAGCGCAGTTTCTAAGCAGCTGGGTATTTAGGCTTATGTGCAGCTTATGGGAGGCTAACTATGTTATTGATCAGTCGATAGCTCACAAGAATCATTTGCTGGTAATAAATTCTATTTTCCAGCCAAGACCGTACATACCGTACTCGAGAACGCTGATTGGTCCGCCTGGACCAATTACGGTCTGGGTTGTGGTCTGGAACCGAATTCGCAGCCATGATTAATCATATGAGCTGCTTAAGCAATAGCTTGACTAAGACCACCTACTCAATTGTTCACAAGTAGTCCACATGTTTTAAAAATTTGCGAATCTATTTTACTTGCAAAACAACTTTCTAAATTCAATTGGTAAAAATTATAGCATACCACAAAAATTTTACAAGCATTTTCGTCAAAAAATTCTTTTGCCCGTCTCTCCTCGAAGAAAAATTCTCAGCCGTTACTGTTATCTATACAAGAAGCCAGGTAAACATTTCATTTCGCTTTACCAAAAGAATCGTTGAACGGAATTCGGCTTACCCTGTATTCTGTATTCTTTCGCCAATCCTCCAAGTCAATTTCTCGTGATCCAGAAAGCACTAATTCCACTTGTTCCACAGTAAACACCCGGAGGAAATCGCGATCGATAATCTGGAAAAAATTCAAGTTTTCATTCTTTTTCTTCTCGAGTCAGCAGACTGAGTGTCGTTCGCAAAAGACATTTCCTCATAATTTTCAATTGGGCTTATTGTCATCAATGTTTTGGGTAAAACTCTACCCTTATGGTTGATAATCGAATATGAAGTAAAGTGACTCACTTGATGCAACCCTCTTAGCAGTGCCTGCGACTGTCGTTGAATTCCACGCTCAATCCGCCATTTCACCATTAACGAGATAAACTCTTCCTTGTTATTATCAGCAACTTCAAGCGTACCACCATTTGGCAATAGCTCTTTCTCAACCACCTGAAGATTATAAAAATAGAAATATTTGATACGAGCTGGCAAACCCGGCTCCGCCCGGTCCTGTCAATAATGAATTCGCATCAGCATGTTCACTTACCCCCTCCCTACCCTGCACACCCTGCACACCCTGCACAACCTACACACCCTGCACACCCTGCACGACCTGCACACCCTGCACACCCTGCACACCTTGCACACCCTGCACAACCTGCACACTCTGCACACCCTGCACACCCTGCACAACCTGCACAACCTGCACCCGAATGTGCACAGACAAACTCACAGATTTTCTGCTTTATATATTAGGTTGGTGCAAAAGTTCTTTCCGCCCAAATTCAAAAATTCATAACTTGTTTAATTCTCAACGAAACTGCAAGATCTAAATTTTGCTTAAGAGAGAAACTCATGCTCTTTTCATCTGTACCTGAACTGTTCGTTAAGGTTTACAAATTAAGAAGATAGAAGCTCAAAACCAAAATCAATCACAATTTGAATTTTTCGTGTAGGGTCATAAAAAATCGGAAATCTGCAACAAAAATTGGAGCAGTCAGTATTGTAGGTTCTTTCATCAGCTCTTTCTAACGGTGCAAAGTTTGCGCTGATTGAGCGCCCTTATCAAAAGTTATGAATTTCGAGCAAGCAATACAAAAGGGCGAATTTGATTTATTTTGGCATTTTTCAGGGAAATCATAACTTTTTATAGAGACGCTCAATCAGCGCAAACTTTGCACCGTTAGAAAGAGCTGATGAAAGAACCTACAATACTGACTGCTCCAATTTTTGTTGCAGATTTCCGATTTTTTATGACCCTACACGAAAAATTCAAATTTTGAGTGATTTCGGTTTTGAGCTTCTATCTCCTTAAGTTGTAAATTTCAACGAAAGGTTCAGGTACAGATGCAAAGAGCATGAGTTTCTCTCTTAAGCAAAATTTAGATCTTGCAGTTTCGTTGAGAATTCAACAAGTTATGAATTTTTGAATTTGGGCGGAAAGAACTTTTGCACCAACCTAATATATAAAATTTTGTGCTTTATATTTGATATTTTGTAAAACATTGCCTGTCCATTTTCTTCCTCTGTAACTACAAATGTCATGCCTAATGATGGATCTACTGGGTTTTCTCGGATCCACAACATGCTACGATAGAACTCTGAATCCACATCCTGGAGATCGTGCAAAGTGACGGGCCTGAAAAAAATTTCGAATGAAAAGCCGAGGAAGTAGAGCTCAATCCAGGAGGGGTAAGAGCATAAATTCTATGGAAAAGTTACACGGCTTCGTGGGAGATTATGACAAGGAAAAGTTCGTCTGGCAAACAAGAGGATAAATTTTTTTATGACACCTTATCATTCCCCCTTTTTCTTGGGTTTTTTTTTCTACGTAACTTTTACAGTAGAAATGACTTCCATTCCAACATTCCCACCTGTCTACATACTATCTGAGACAACTATTTTCTTTGTAAAACTTACTGTTCCAAAAGCATCTTGTAGAATGTTCTAGTGAAAAACGTATCAATGAGGCACCGATGCAATAACGCTAATCCAAGCACTCGTCCAGCCAGCTCCATCCTAAGTTAACAAAATACCGATTAGAGGTATGCACGGGTCAACTCTGATTCATATACCATTGCATTTCCTGTTGTACGAGATGCGAATGAGGACTGATTTGTACGGTGTACTGATTTGGAGCAGAGTATTCAAAAAGACCATAGTAGGGGTTGAATAGTTCTCGCGACAGCAGATAGAATAGTTCGCGGGAAGGGCCGCCATAATCTAGCCTGAAAGAGTAGAAACTCACCAATCAAACAGTTTACATCCTAATTGCCAAGGCAGGAGACACATTTTATACTGAAAGCGAGAATTGGTCCTCAAACATTACAAGTTTTCAATTATCGTATCTCAAAAATCCACTATTGAAGATTTTACCTAACTTGCAGATATCAGTGGATCAGCATGGATCTCAAATTTCATGCCAGTCATGAAGAGTTCGTCAGAATTTTACAAGAAAAGACCAGTTCTCGTTTTTATATTTTAATTTAGAAAAGAAGAGCAGTTATCGTTCCTATATTCAAAACAAATTTTCATGTTTGTCCAGACAAATGTTTTGATGCTCATTTTTTACTCAATATGCGGATAGATATGTGTAGAATTACACTGTCAAAGGCTCAGGCATGGGGACCACTTCTCGCTGCCCCTCACTCATGACCGAAACTCACCCCTCCTCGTCATCAAAGGCGATGGAAAGCCGTGCTTTTCTCAGAGACAATGGATCTGCAGCTAGGATTTGCTCAAAAGCATCCTGAAGAAGGTTAGCACGACTGAATCGAAATCTGCAAATGAAAATCTTTGAGCAAAAATGAAATTGTGAATGCAAACTATAACCAACTTTATTTTTTGCGGTCCTTTACCGTAACCGCTTCGGTGAAGTGATGCATAAAAATGGTTGAGTTTTTCTTCTAACTCGCTTGAGCCAACTTGATCATCAGAGTCGAGAATACTGTAATAATACCGTAGCCCGTGGAAATGTCTAGAAACTAAATTTTCAGCGTGAGCCATTACCTAATAGCCGTGATCAGATCAACATCATTCGCGAGTCGCGCCAAGGCTACTGCGCCCAATCTCTCAATCAGCCGCAATTTTTTCCTAATTTTTGGAGCCAATTCAGGCAATCGCTCTTCCACGAGCAATGCTATTTCTGCAGTTCTGCTTGCGAGATCCAGAAGATTTCCATTTTTGTCTAGCTGAAAGTATAATTGTTGATTTTATCGATTTTTGGCCAAAGAAAGAAGAGGTCTTTACGTTCTGTCGTCGCACTGGTGGAGCACTACGTCCCCGCTTTCGATCAAGTGTTGGCATAGGCAGCCGGGGGTCGATAAGGGTAGTGCGTCTTGTAGAATGATCAATAAATATAGTCTGAAAAAATCAATACACGCTCAATAATCAATAACTCTAGATCTTCTTGCATACCGGATTCTTTCCTGTAGCTTGCCAATTCAGAGGCAATGGCTGTGTTTCGTCAGCAAACAAATTAACAAAAGCCACAAAATCCCTGAAAACAAAATTTTTTCTATGCTCGTCTGCGCTCTCTATTATTTACTTGTTATTTTCATATTTTTCCGTCGGTTCACCGCATTTGCGTATTCGATGCACTATGTGCTTTACTATAGGTGACGCATTATATGCGGCGAGTGCGTTCTGAAATCTGTGCAGTTAGAGACGCAGAGGAAGTTACGATATCTCGCGATTACCTCATTTTCATGCAGTAAACTGACGAAATCTGGTCTTTGCAGAAAAATGGCTGGGCCATAGGTGGGCGTACTAGGTGGTGAGATTCCTACAGTTCTTCGGTTCATTGTATACCTGAAAAAGTCGTAGGTACTGTAATAAAGTGGACAAAGGTACTCTTCAAAAAATCGATATATTGATTGATAGGCACCCACCTTTTCGTTTTCTCTTTTTCAATGTGTTCATCAGACGCTGTAGGTCGTTGCCAAGTGGTTTTCTTAGACACATGATCTATATAGAACGTTCTACCTTTACGATCAGTGCATGCTTCCCAACCTGAAAGTATTACTGTGGGGTTACGGTAGGAGTACGGTAGTCAAGATTTTACCAGATGGCAACGGCGGAGGAGAATGCAGATTTGTTGAGGATCCAGAAGAGGAACTGGAAATTTTTCAAGTAGACATTGAAACAGTTTGAATGTAGATTTCATTACCGCAGTACCGTTGAAAAATATTTTTAAGCATTTTGGAATTAGGGTTATAGCCGTACCTAGCCTGACTCATTGAGCTTCCCGAAGAGGATGTTGAGACTCCAGATACTCGAATGCCGAGATCCTCCCTTCGTTTACTGCGCGTTCGCAGGCAACCCGATGCTAAAGCATTTAGACTAAGGGATGCAAGAGACTAAAAAACGATGCTTGCAGGGTGCAAAAACAGATGTAAAGTACAATTTGCCATTTTAATTCGTAATAAGAAAAAATTTAACAAAAATTTCTAAAGCAAAAGCCACAGTATGCCACATTCGGAGTTCGTTCAGATATTCAGAAACTTGGTAGAATTCCTCAAGCAAAGAAAAACATACAATTTTCATTTATTAAGTTTAAACTAATTCTTCAGGCTTCCCTTTCACACCTCCTGCAGTATACCTATTTTTCACCATTATGGCTGCAAGAAAAGCAAGTTGTGCAACTAACGTACCTTCTGAATCCATTGGCTCGATACACACTGAAATGACGGCTGTAAACGCGTGCCGTTGATCCGACTGCACAGCAATGTTGAGATCACTGAAAATTTCCACATATGAGTTCAAGAAATCGATATATTGATTTTTTCGGAGCGATATTAATGAACAATTCATTGGAAAGGTTTAATATTACAAAAGTAGACAGGAACTGGAAAAAATAATTTTTAGTTCCATATGAGTTCTAGATTTCACGGTTTTGAGATTTCAAATGCAAAGGAAAGGACGAGATCCGTTGAAGCTGAAGAAAGATTGACCTAACTGGGCAAATAACCGTCAAAAAATAACCCAAAAAATCTCTTTTCAAATTTTCTTAGTCCCATGAGCACTAATGCTAAAATATTTTTGAAAAAGTCTTTGCTTGATGCTTTTTTTCAAATTATCAAACTGGAAGAAGATACCTTCTCTGCGGGCCAAAAGAATTTTTTATAAGGCTTGATTGATTTTTTAAGAAATTCAAAAAATTGTGTCAATTGTTTATAAGTATAAACAAGTCACTTGCACATTTTTTATGATCCCCCCACCCCCGTTCTTTAGTGTTTTTCCGCCCATATACAGCTCAGTTCCGCGTTGGACATGTCCATTTATGAGAAAATCTCGAAAATTGGACAAACGCTGATTGCTCTCCCTTTCAGTGTTGTTCTCTAGCTTTGATGCATTGTCTGCACTGGACTAAGCCTTTGCGACTCATTAGCATCGCGTGACCAACGACGATTGTGAAAGATTTTGACAGAAGTTTCAAAAAAAGAGATTTGGCGCGGTCACGAGGTATATGCAAGCTTTGCAGACTTTTTGCTCAGAATTTGAAGAGGTAAAGAAGTAAATAACCGAATCTTAGATTGTGGGTATCATATAACAACGGTCATGTGAAAATAAGAAAGAAAAACGCGCTCCATGGCAAAAACTACGTTGCTTTACCAGAAGTGATGCGATAGAGCAAACAAACTATGATGATCTAGTAATTGTCTAGTGGATAACCGCTTAAGCGAATAAGGGAAAAAATTCGAGCACTGAAGGTCCAGTGAGTTTCTAAGGAAGATGGGGGAAAGAAATAAAAATTTTCGAATAAGGTGACGATGTTAACTTTACAATTTTCGAAATGATTACAAACAAGCTTTTGATCTTCCTGCCAATTCAAGTTTTATTTTCACATTTCAGATATTTGCAACCCACTTGTCCTTTCTGGGTTGCAAATATCTGAAATGTGTTTTTCTCTGCCAATTTGATTTTTTTCACATTTCAGATAACTGATTTATATCGGTTGCAAATATCCAAAATGTAATTTTTTTCTCTGCTATTCAGTTTTTTTCACATTCCAGATATTTGCAACCCACTTGCCCTTTTTGGGGAGGGATAGAGGACCCACTTGCCCTTTCAGGAATGATAGAGGGAGGGGGAGGAGGGGGGCGGGATGTTAGAGGGAGGGGGGTGTAGCTTGCTTGCCCCTTCTGAACGAAAAAGAGGAACGAGGAGTAATCCCATGTGGACAAATTTGTGGCCCCTTGATTTTCCGCCCTTCAAAGTTTTGCTGTGTAACTGACATATGACAACCAAGTAAAGATTCTCATTGATGCTATTGATGCTCTTTCTACCCCAAATTTATCGGTCCCTTGTTTCTCCCTCCCCCTTCCCCTCCCCCCCCCCCTCCCCCCCCCCCCCTCAGTAGATTGAGTTGATTTCAAAAAAATGGGTGGAAACTAAGAGTGCGCAAAGAACTCATCTGCTCTCAAAAATAGATTCTATTTCCGCAGCAAAAAATTTTTTGGCATTTGACCACCCTCCTTGTCGATGGACCATCATTTTATGGTTTTATAAAGTTTGAGAGGTCCATTAAGTAGGTTTTTTTAGAGTTTGACAGGTCTTGCAAGGTTTTTCAAAGTAGATTTCCTGAAGCAATTTTGCCCCCCCCCCCTTTCTACTCTCCCCCTGCTCCAACTAACATTTCGGTGCAGATAACGTTGCTGGTTCGATGAACTTTCCAAACAACCGGAAGTTGCGTGAGCAAAATTTCACAGTGGATTTCATTTGTTTTAATCCCAAGTCAGCATAAGAACGGTCATTAGATAGAATTTTGCTTCAATTTTTTGGCCTCACGCCAAGACATTAAACAAATCTAAAATTCGACCATAGAAATATAAGGCTTCGCTAGAGCAGCGTGCAGATGCTAAGCCAGACAAAAACCTATAATAATGACCACAATGAAGAGCGGCGAAGCGAAGTACCCATTCAGAATCTCTGCAAAGAACAAGCATTGCCATAAATTCAAGGAAGTGGCCTAGAGAATAGTGAATTCTTTTTTCTGAGATTTTCATAGCGCGCAAGTGCCCTGGCTTGGCAAAGTGTTGTAAAGCGCTCTGAATTGAAAGAAACAGAACTTAAAACAAATCATGCTCGGTTTTCCTATGGAACACTCCGCCCATAAGAAACGGCAAACTCCGCCCACTCACAAGCTCCAAGTTCAACTTTACCAAAGCACACATAGAAAGACTACGTATAAAACAGCTGAATTTGAACAAGTCTCATCAAGAAAAAAACAGAGGTTTTTGAATAAAAGGACCAAAGAAACTTCAATGTGTAAGGCCTTTTTTGAGCATATCCAGTGATGTATAATCCCTAAGCTAGGCAATCCCACAGCCTCTCGAAACGGAAATTGAAATATCCGGGCGCGGTGTCAACAAGCCAAAAAGTGTTGCCAAAATCTTCACTGAGCATCTGCATATTTTCACTCCCAAAAAATTTCGTCGACAAATTGAATTTAGTTTGTAAATTTGCATCCTGCGCTACATCTCTCCTTTATTGTAAACATTTAATTCTTGGCAATTTGATAAACTGTCAGAAAATGGTTACTCATCTCTGGCATCAAATTGTTTGAAAAGGCGACATATAAGAAAGAATTTTCTAGAAATTGGCATCTTCTTAGCAGACAAGTCGTGGGAAACCGCATGTTGTCTGTAGTACACATATCAGTTATAAATCACTTTAAGGTGCCGTTGACAAGGTAATTATTAACAAACATTTGTTGAAATGATTGAGGAAAAATGATGAATGAAGGTCCACCCAAAGCGAAATGTCGAGAGGAACTACCGTATCCTAGAAAATTTGTGTCTTCCCGTTAAAAGTCTCTCAGGTCCGAGAAAGAGCCATGCCACCTGGGAGCTGATCTCTCGCAGTCTTAGTTGAGCTTATGAAAGGTCAAAAATCATATTTCAGTTGAAAGTCGCTGATCTGGGGATTTACGTAAAATTGCAGAACTGTCATGGAACTAAAAGCGTGGAAAATCGAAAAATCAAACTCCCCTTTTTCAAAAAGAGCAAGACGGGGTTACTACAGACTTTGGCTTTGTTTTCATTAGCAATATCTCATTCAAAATGGTATAAAGCCAAAGTTCTGCTTGAAGACATAGAAAACAACGTAAAATTGCAGATTAATACTATAACTCCGAAAAAGCTGAAATAATTTTTTGGTAATGTAAAGACAAGTAGATGAAATAAATTTTTAACTTTTGATATTACAGCTTTTTCTTTCGATTACATTTTCGAAAATTAAAGAATTACTTACTTATGTTTACATTTGTTACTCCTTTGGTCGACATGTATCAAATCACAGTAAAAACCGATTGTTGCAGGTCAACTGACACCGGCAAACTCGCCCAAACCAAATCAAAAGGGTGAAACAATAACGTTGCAGGGTACGCCGCCCTTTTCTGCACTTACTATTCCTTTATGGCAAAAAGTCCACACACACACACACACATACACAAAGAAAAGCTGCCAAGCACAAGCAAACTCGTCGAAGAATGGCCTAACGCGCCTAGAAGGGGCGTGGCCAGTTGGCGCGTCCCGGCCCGGCGCCGCTCCACTTTCCCACGGGACCTCATTGCATGTTCGACAATGTGCCGGGGCGTCGCAATCTATTCCAATCGCATAAACGACGACTTTTGGCAACAAGAAGATAGTGTACGAGTGGAGGAGAGCACAGAGAAGCAAGTATCAGATTTCCGGTTTATAGACTAGCTGCTGCCGCTATTTGAAAAGGCATGTATTAGCTGGCAAAGATTTTGAGCGCCATCGACGTCAGCAGTTCCCAATTTGCTGGAGTTTTGCAAAAAAATGATTTGGGATTTTTCCGAGCATTAGTTTGCAAGAGAATTAGATTTTTGTGCTGCTTGCCGGCTGTTTCCAATCAAACCATTCCCTTTGGATTTTTCTTGAAATCTAAGAATCTTCCTTTTAGCGCAAATTCTAGCGCAAGACATTGTTTTTAAAAAAACCATGAATTTACCCTAAAGTTATAAGATACCAGCGCTTAAGCAAAATATCGACGATAAGACCAGCTGATAACGATCCAATATATGTCCCCTCCCCCCCCCCCCCTCCTCCAAGAAATTTGCAAAATTTTACAACCCACACTCATGAGTCTACCTGCGCAAGCGATTTTTCCCCGCTTGAAAATAATCATAATAATGTCCGAGATTCCAGAGAGTCAAATCAGCAATCAAGGCTTTTTTGTCACCCCTTGAAGATTTGAAATTCTCAAAAAAGAATTTGAAATGATAGCACCTCTCTATCCCCCCTTCCCCCTTTCTCCTCTCGAAAAGGACAGACTCTCCATCGGTCAGAAATTGCAGGCTTTGAAAATGCGTCTGCAACGGCGGAACTAGACAATTTTCGACAGAAATTTTGACTGCTCTTTTTTTCGCCAGCACTTTAATCAATGAATCTTACGCGCACTTGATAAACACATTTTGTCCTTGGATAAGGACTTTTGAGTTCAATATGTCAGTGAAAGTTACGTTAACGTTTACTAGCGGGAACAATCGAATCACTTCGCAAATTTTTAGCGACCGATACTTAACACTGATTATAAAATTAAAATTAGGACGGTATTAGAAAAAGGTGACGCAGTATATAAACTGAAGAGCTAAAAATCAAGAATTTACCTTCGAGGACATGTACAGTCAGTATAAGACAGAGCATTTTGAGAGCATTGGCGCTAATACTGGGGGAGTGAGGAAATTCAAGCTCAATAATAACGCAAATTGGGGCTTCGTCAGAAATAATTCGGGAAAACTAAAAAATTTCAGAAATTGATTTCTACTGTGCAGCATGTATTAGGTCGTTCCGAAAGTAATGTCGCTTTTTTCGAATGAACGCCACTACTCATGGAATCAAGATTTTCAAGAGATCTTAGGGGCATTCGATGCAGCATTTCATCCTCTTTCTATCGGTTGTAATACCGTTGCATAATATTCAATGAGCTATGGAAAAATTACCAAAACCTGCGAATCATGCTTTTTGTCATGGTAGAGTTCGGCTATTTTTCTAAATTTTTGTACCTATTCTCCGAAGAAGTGCAAGCGGCAGGTAGATAGAGCAAACACTATAGAACACAGAGTAATTTTTTCTTTTCCTTAGCTTGCTTCTCAGAGTTTCTACAATCAATTTCTCAATGCCATCAAATTCCATATTTAGTCAAGTCAAACCTCACGGAACAACAACCGGCAGGCGACTCGGTGTCATTCGATGCAGCTTTTTCTCCTCTTTCTAGCGGTCGTTTTTTGTTTCCGATCCATCAAGTTTTCCGGGATAAAATCATCATAATTCAACTTTTCCAAGGCACCCCAAGGTGTATCCGAAATTTCCGGAAGCTGCTAAACCGAAGCAGTAAATGCTCGTTTGGTTTGTAAAATTGTTGCCAAACCATAATCCATCTTTGTAAGTTTCAAAATCAGGAGGCTTGTTGGCTTTTGATGCACTTGTGTTTGAGACGAGCCTGCTAAAATTCGGTGGTTCCATCAAAAAATCTATACAAAAATTATGACGAGCTCTGGAAAGTAAAAGAAAGTTGTGCTGTTTCCTGTAGGGTTTGCTCTATCCATTCATTACTTGGACTTCTTCTGAGGTTTGTTATAAAATTTTAGAAAAATTGTGAAACTTGGCCATCTTAAAAAGCATAGGTCGCAGATTTTGACTCTTTTCTGGAAGCTCATTGACTTTATTGCAACAACTTCATAACCGTTAGAAAGAGAATGAAATGCTGCATCAAATGCTACCAGAATCTCTAACACATCTTTCTTCCACGAGATGTGGCATACGTTTGAAAAAAGCGACATTACTTTCGGAACGACCTAATATATATCAAAAAGTCAATACTATCCGCTTAACTTGAGAATGAGGAAAGAGAAATTTCAAAAATTTTGTGAAGATTTATTTTTTGAGTGTAGCAAAATCTTCTCACACCTGATACTACCGTATTCTATAAGGTACGGTAGCTCCATATTGGGTTCTCAATGAAAATAGGAATTGCTTACATTTTGATTAGGAATACTCTTTCATACTTCTAAACACTCCATTTTCGTAGTCATGAAATTCAGAAATGCAAAAAATAGTAATTCAAATAGCTTGCGTCAAATGCAGGGTTGGCATATGTCAACGAAACTAATATACAAAGCTGATATTAACGGAAATTACAGTTTAAGGTAATTTTTTTCTACGTTAGGGAATTTTTATCAAGAAAAGAGTACCAAGGGCAGCGAATTTCATCTCAATAAAGCCGTAAGGAGATGACTCACAGCTTTTAACTGCAAATCGCTGCAGATCGCACCAACGAAATTTTAGACGAAAAGAACAAAACAAATGAGATTTTAAGCCCAAACACCAGACGGGAATTGGAATCGTTCTGCAATGCCCCATCACAATGTTTAGCCCATAAAACGGATTTTGCTCGGCTATTTATTTCAAAAACAAATCCGACGCGATTACCCTACAAGGGAGGTTTTGCAGATTAGGAGAGATTTTTTCACAAATAGAATTGGAGCCGGGTCATTGCAATTAATGCATAATTTTCATTTTCAAGTCCCACGGATCCTCCAAAAATCAAAAAAATGGCATTAACAAGGTTTGACGTGTGTTCAATCCCAATACAGCAATTTTCAACCTACTTCTCTCCGTACCCTCAAAAAAAATTGAATCAGAGATGCGTTGTCAGTTGACCCATGCCTAGTCATTCTTCACAAAGAATTTTGAGCTCCGAAAAATAATATGTTATCAGAGTTATCCATCAATCTTTATAATAACTGCAATCCCCCCCCCCTTCCTTTCCTTCCCCTGGAACCTCTAAAAACTAAAAAAACCCGTGTGTATCAGCTTCTGATCTGACTTCAATCTCGCTCTATATCAATTTTAAGAGCCCTAGTATCAAAAACTTTGGCCTATATTTTTTTTAAGATTTCAAAGAGATTTTTCATGTAAAAAAATTTGCATCACTCACCCCGACAGATGTTCAATTTCGACTAGAGGAATCTCACAATTGACACTTCCAACTGAAATGTCCAACGTTGAGGAGGCCGAGTACGGAAAATACGAGTCCTGGAAGGAAAACGATTATGACCCTATAAATAATGTCACACTTAAGAAAAACACCCTAATCATAGCATTTAATGGCCCCATGCACGATTTATTTCATGCAAGCAGTGCGTGAATAAGAGCAAGTCGAGCCAGTTAAGCATAAACGAAGCTCTTTTTATGAGTTGAGTGGCTCGAATGTGGAGCTCAGTAACAAATCTGGCTGGGGCACGATGTGGGAAGCTTTTTGGTGTAAACAATGGATTTTCCGAAACTAAAAATATAGGGTGTTTTTTCGAAGAGAGAAGAGTAATTTCTCCAAGGAATGATGTCAAGATAAGCGCATAATCACCTATACACTGTTTTTATATTATAATCATTAGCATGTATGCACCGAACAAAGATTAATCGGGTACGCGGGGATTTTTGCTTGAAAACAGAAAAGAGAGTAAGGAGTCAGGCATGATTATTCCCAAAGAGTGCAGATGAGACAATCTCCTCCTCCCTCCCCCTTCCCTCTTCCTCTCTCCCTCCTCAGCCCCTTTTTCACGCGTAAACAAAATGATAGAAATGGAGCTGTAAATTTTCAAGACACTGCTATGAAACAATTTGTCAAACGATTTGAGCTAACATTTGTGTAAACAATAATCATAAAAAATTCATGCGTATTTTTCACTAAATAATAGCGTTGTTTATCGAGTTATGTAAGGAAAATAAAAATTTAATGTTACATTTTCAAGTTCAAAAATAACATTCCTGATAGGAGCCCCATATTACTGAAAGTAACTGTGCGAGAGAGAGAGAGTGAGTGAGAAGCAAGGAGACTTGCGCGCCGATCTGCTATTGGTCGAAATGGGTCCCGACACTGCTTGCCCAGCGAGGGAGTTTGTATAAGCTACATACCCATACTTATTGGGAGGATTATATATCGCCGAAAGGAGGTGGTCCAAGGCAGACATCTGCGACAGACCACGCATCCATGCATATTACAGATAGTGCAGATTTGTACCAGCTGTCCGCCGGGTGTAGCCTATTTGCGACATACAATCCAAAACCAGACTCTATAATGTTATGCCTAAATAGTTTTCAACTCCTGCGTAGATGAATAAGAAGTCTGGGTAGATATACTATCACCATCACCTAAGCGAATGCTCGTTTGTGGTGGCGATAAAAAAAATTGTTTTTGTAGAAAATAATTACCAGAGATAAGTCTGCCTTGTTTTCGAATAAATATAAATTTCTAATCACAAAGGAGTAAATGAATAATTTTGAGTAAAAAGTAGACTAATGGGGCGTAGACAGAGTACATAGAAACGAATCATTGCTGGAACTATTGACTATGGGCAGAAATGCCACTATAGAGTGCAAGGAGCCTTTTTTTGGTGGCACTTGGCTAAAGCTTGAGAGCACTATTACTTTTCAGAGTAAATATGACAGGTTATGAAATAATACCAAGGTTTCTGACGCAGAAGGGTAAAACAGACATGGAAGTCAGTGGTTCTACCTCGAAAATTGTTCAGATGACGTGATTTAGAGGACCATTTACGTCAAACCATAAATTGTCTTTGTATAGATGGCCTAGGCGCATAAACAAAGACTTGATGGCTAGTAATGCAAAAAATAGATTTTACACGCCTTTGTTCGTCCTAGCAATCCAAAGAGCGATAAGCTTACCACCAAAGCCGTTTGCTCCTCGGCAGGTAGATTTATCGCCGTCGATCTTCCAAGACTTGCCAGTCGCAGTTGCCTGCAGTGATCAGCTTTCTCGAAGAAATGATAGTTCACCTCTGAAAATCAATTTATCGATTATTTTAAAACAGCCATTGATTATCAATGGCGGGTTCTATCGTTAAACCTTATAAAACCAAGTTTGGGGCAAAAAACATAATGTCGCCGGTAGACCCCGCCTGCATGGATAACTGTCATTATTTGTGACGTGTAAGGATGCACGACTTGTGACAGATATCCGCGCGAAAGAAGCTGCCTGCAACATAGTGTCTTCTACCAGTACGTTTGAGCTTTGAAGCACCAAGATGCAGTGCAAATGCATACACCCTTATCTTTCACATGTGGTTTCATGCTTATGGTGGAGAAACCCGCAAAAAATTTTCCAAAGAAAAATCCTGACCTTTGACAAGCAAGCGTGCCTGATCTGTAATTCTGATTGGAGGTGATTTGGCAAGCACAACTCCTGTCAGACCATCGACATACCTGCAAGAATAAAAATTACAAGTATATGGAAAGTCTCACTTTGTGGATGCTGCTTACATGGTCACCAAAAGAGTACTTATTTTCACTTGCATAATTACTCGACAGACTTATTTATTTACTTTTTAATTGTCAGAGTAAATTGTTAGCAGACGAGCAGTTGTAAGTACAATCCATAAATGCTTACGAACGCAAGCATACTCTATGGCGGTTATAAAATAACGAGATCTTACCTATCAATCAATTTATTTACTCAGGTGAATTACAACAATTTTGGTGCCCCAAAATATGAGATAGTGGTCAAAGAATAATTTATAGATTCCTTTATAACGCTCTTCACTAATGACTTTTGTCTTCTATTATTTAGTACGGTGTAAGCTACCTCAAATGTCATTTCTTTCAAAGCTTTTCAATGTGTAAATGCGACCGCATTGATAAATACACGTCAGAAGATAAAGAGAAGCCAACAACATGTCCAAGAAAGACATCTTTGACAAAAAACGACTCCGTTACGGTAGTTTGACGTTCTGAAGCGGAGGCCGTGGGCGAGCGCGACTCCACGGGGACTGGCGATGCATCAACGGGCCGTGCGGCCCGCTCCTATCACGACCTATTGAACTTCGCGCCAAGTACGTCCCCGGGGACTGGAAGGGACGCCTTCCCTATCACAGTTGTTACGTCTCACTGAAAGTGTCATACGGCTGCTATTTGAGCGTGATGCAGATGGATGGGGATCACTTGAGGGATGCGGGACCTTTGGCAAATTGCCAGAAAATATGAGCATATCGAGGGCTCCTACCCTATGTACCTCAGTATGTGTGTATGTGTATATGTATATGTATACGTCAAGCAATCTGCTTTTTAGTAAGTACAAGGCGTAATTGATGTTCTTGGACTCCAATCCAAGATATCAAGACACTATCAATCATTCATAAATGCACTCAAGCTCATAATCTTGAAGACGAAGTGCAATGCTTGTGTTCTATGTTTTTACCTGGAAGGCAATCTTATCGGGATAAAACAGAACTTTGAGCTGCAAGCTCCGGAAAAGGTTGGTCAACTCTTCCCCCATCCCCTCCCTCCTCCATCGCCATTAGATCGTAAGATTCTCTACACGAGCTTTTAGGTAGACAACTGGCTTCCCGATAAATAAATAGAATCTTCCCAAGCTTATCAAATTTTAATTCAACCTTTTGAAAATATTTTTTATGAGCAAAGCTGCCAACAGCCTTTTTTTCGTCTTCGTAATCATATGACCGTAACTATAACAGCCAAAAAATTGCGGAGGGCATATTTACAATACCACCTCCTTTCATTCGGAAAGACTCCTACGGCGCTCACCTCCCGAAAAAGTTTGTGGGATTGCCAGGGAAAGAAAACATCATGATGAATGTTACCGATATCAATGAACTTAGAATTTAGCAGTGTTAGAAAAGGTAGCAAAACATTGTGCCAGTAAAGTACTCGTTATCACACTTTACTTTCCCAGTAAGTTTGAAGTGCATAGTTTTTTGTAATAACACTACTTCATCATTTACAGTAAAGCGCTTCCTCTCCAGAGACAACAGAGACTGCTGTGATGTACGACACCCAAGAGCAGCAACTTTCAAATCTCAGTGTTTTTGTCAAAAAGCGACAAGTTTTGAACTGATGTCAAAACTGCAAGATGTTGGGGTTAGTTAGTAAAAAGAGAAAAGCTGGGACTTGAATGTTTGAGGGATGAGTCTGCTCTTTTCGTCCCTACCCAATTTGTATCATGTTCCGAGAAAAGCAAATAAACTGGTCTTAGTTCCTTCTGAATGATTCAAAGCTGACCTCGGAGGCTTAGTGTTAGTGTTAAAAATGTGCAAAATGGGGATCTATCTCCAGTGAAAAAAGGCACTGCAAGACGTATTCGGACATTCCAGCGCCTGGAAGCCTACGCTATGCCACGCAACGGGAAGATTAAAAGAATTAAAATGAAAAAGATTCAATTGGACACTGTGTTTTGTGTCGATCTTATTGAAGGTCGCACTATGATTTTTGTTTGCCCATCCTGAGTCAACGACTGTTTAGTAAACCAGCTTTAGTATCGATGCGTATAGTGCAGTTGGTGTGCGGCTCTGTCATCCGGGCATTACCGTTCGGTAACGGTCTCGCTAATTTTGCAGCGCCCTGTTCATGGCTTGCTACATTCTTATGAGATTTTTCGACCTATCCCGCTATTGTCTTTGCTGTGAAAACCATGGAGATTTACTGCAGGCCCAGGAGGCCTTTGCAGCACTAGAAGTTTCTGTGAAGGAAAAAGCGAAGGGACTGTCATGTATATATATTAAACAGTAGCGAAGCTCTACCAGCTTAAATGAAATAGTGTTACCGGATATTCGAAAGTTTAACACAACGTAAGGGAAGACAATGAGGAAGGGCAAAAATTTTCACAGATTGCTCGAGAGCAGCTAAGTCTAATTTCTTCAGCTACAACTGTACGAGGCAAAAAGACACGAGATTCAGTATTCAGTTTGTGAAAAATCTACAAAACAAGGTACATTCCGATTTTGGAAAACCCTCCTTTGACCATCACACAAGCGCTCAGACGCTCGCGCAACGCACGCACCATGGCAGAGGGTAGTTGAAGTCTTTATCTCACACTATCTGAAGCAAGCGCTCCAGAATGTTTAAAATCTAGTGCGGAATAGAGCAAGCCTTGTTTTCCATGACTTATCACAAAGAATAGTTAATATAGCAGGCCAGTTTGAGAAGTATATTCGTAAGATTTGGCGTAAATGTTAGAATAGAGCATTCAACTTCATGAGAACATCAATAACAGCACTTATGGTGTACCTGCATAACATTTAAGTGATATTTGGGTGAAAATGCAAGGGCTTACAGCTAGAGTCAGTGAATCAAACTGACTTGATGTTGAAGATTTCAGCCTTTGGTTTTTGCTTTCTTAAACTTTTTTTCCTAGTGGCAGAGCACATTAAGGTATTTATGCTCAAATCCTATACTGATGAAAAAAGACTGATTGGTACTGCGCTGAAGATCGACGAAAAGTGGCTAGCTCTACAATTTGCAACCTGAGGTTCTGGAAGACCTTAAAGGGAAAAGAGCTGTGCATTTTTAACAGCGAATATGTTTCTACTAGCTTGATTTTATCGAGTACAGTTTGCTTCAAAAACGATATCTTGAGAATGTACAATGCGAAGGGTAGGATTTTTTTGGGATTGAAGGATAAGGGATAAAGGATTCGGCGTTTTCAGTACCTTCTGCGGGCATGCGACAAACGCACACTACTTCATAGCCGAAGAGGCAATTGAATCCGTGCGAGCCTTCTACATAAATTGCGGGGCAAGCCGATAACCAAGTCAGGTTATTCTTCCAAAATTATCCTGTGGCACCAATTCACCGTGAGGGTTAGAGGGCTTCGTTGGCCGAGGGGCGGGAATCGAACGCGTCCGACCTGGCCATAGCGGCGCCTCATACCACTACGCCACTCGTTCCCTTCGAGGATATCAAAAACTAATCGAAGAACTCATATGCAAACTTTGACTGAAAGCGAGAAGTACCAGCAAAGTTAATAAGAGTAGCGAGGAGTACCAAGAAAGTCAACAAGAAAAGTTGAGCGATCAGCCAATGTATTGTCATGGTCGGAAAAGACGCAAATGCGTAGTGTTTGAGTATATAAAATAAAAAGGATAAAGGGTTCGGCGTCTTCAATACCCTCTGAGGGCATGCGCCGAACGCACACACTAACTTCGTAGTCGAAGAGGCAATTGTATGCGTGCGAGCCTATTACAGTGACTTGCGGGGGCTAGCCGTTTCCAAGTCAGTGCTTTTATCCTCTCAGATTACTCTGGTACCAATTTACCAGCCCCTGGGGTAGAGGGCTTGGTTGGCCCAAGGGCGGGGATCGAACCTGTGTCCGATCTGGTCATAGCGGCGCCTCATACCACTACGCCACCCCATCCCCATTTGAGTATATAGTTAAAAAGAGATGATAAACATCTATTCGCTCTTTTTTTTTTTCAAAGCGCTTCTTGATTATGTTATGAACTGCTCAGGCAAAAGTACCGGACGAGCGGCGCGCCACCATAAGAGTCCCGGACGAGCGGCCGCATTCACCGGCCCGGCGCACTCTGTCGGGCGAGCGGCCTGCAAACTGAGATTACCGGGCGTTTGGTCACAATCACCGGCTTAGAGGCGGCCATCAATCAACCGAGCGGTATACAAACGAAAGACGCCAGGCGAGCGCTTACAAACACGGCCAAGCGGCGTCATCGACCATCAGGGGGCCTACAATCAAAGTACGCGAAAACTGTTCAAATTTGATGGCTACCTCATGTTTTGACAAAACCAAAATTTCATTTTATCAGTCTTGAAATACAAAGGTACTATTCATACTGCAGATTGGAGTTGGAGCGGTATGCCAAATGAGATGAGCTTCAGCCATCTAAATCAACGCCGCAGATATGGATGTAGGTTTTTACTTTACTCTTTCAATCTTGTTTAAGTGTTCTGAGTCTTCCTTTGCAAACAGATAACAAATTTGGAGGATCATCGGTTGAACCCAAATTTAGTAATTTGCCTTTTTTGAAACAACGAGGCCAACTGGCTTTTGATAGATTGGAGTGTGGAAAAATCGTTCACAGAAAGATGCTCTTTGAGGTTTACAAATGGCTTTGTAAGTGTTGAAATGCTAGATCAATCATCTTTCGTTTAGACGTAACATACGCGCTTACGGATACGTGTGGAGAAGAGAAAGGGGAAGGATAGTGATGTAAGTTCTTTTAAAAAAAGCAGCTGCTATTACTGCATATACTTTTTGTGAAAAAAGAACTACGGGACCCTTGATGTATGCCTGGAAGAAGCCGAACATGAAATGCTATTGGATCGTTTAATCTGTGGTTACAAAAATGTTTTCTATTTGCTGTGCGGATTTTTGTTCTCGTTTGTTTGATGTTATATGAACTAGTTCCTGTTAATAAAGTATAGTTAAATTTAGTGGTTTTGCTCTCGTACACATGGAGAAATGGCACAAATCAAATAGAAAGAGGCAGATTTCCGAAAGGTTAATCACAAATTCCAGGTCATCATCCGCAATGACCGGGCTAAGGTCAGAAAGTTAGTGTGAGCGGTCACTAAGACCGGGTGAGCGGCTGCAACGACCGGCCGAGCTACAACGGCCGGCCGAGCCTCCACATGACCGGTCAAGCGGACTGCGAGGAGATACTGGCTGGTGTGCGCCCACAATGACCGGGCGAGCGGTCGCTGCTACCGGCCGGGAGCACAATCTACCGGACGGGCAGGAAATGTTGAATTCGCTCGGCTGGTATTTGTGGCCGCTCATCCGGTACTTTTGCCTGAGTGTTCAAAGCAAAAAGTGATTGTTGTTATGATCATAATTTTCTACTAATAACACGTTGAAGTATGTCTCATTTTAGCTCTCCTCTGCTGAGCAAAGTCTGATAGAGATCATTATTAATTTTTTTGAATGAAGCAAAGATATTGCCATGAGCAGGTATCGAAGCGTAGCGTTTTTGCTTGAAAGGCAGTAAAACAAATAACAACAACAATTAAGCTTCACAAAGTGCGTTTCCTAATTATACGAACACCCCATATTTTGTGAGTTGCGGAACTTTTTGAAGGAAACCCAGGAAACCATTGGTGTCAAGTGAAAGAGCCTAGCCGGTAATGGTATACTGAGCATAAACGAATCGATGTGAATCTTAGGAATGTTTTTTTCTCCACAACGAATTTTCAGCGGTTCGTAATTATCGAACACCTCAAACGAGGCCATTTTTTCATTCAAAACTGCAATCTTTCAAATCAAAATTTTCTGTGAATGATTCTACATTAACGAAATCTGAGATAATTGCTGCACACTAAGCCTACTGCAGTTGAATAAAAGGAGCTTTCTCTTCTTAGATGGCTTAAAATGCTTTGAAGTCAGTGCGCTCCAAAAACGTCTGTTTTCTCGTGATTGGAGCATTCTTACTAGCCCAGTGTTCTGGTTCTGTTCTGCCTCGAACGTATTTTAATATAAAAATGATTGTCATTTAGACACATAAACTTGAACAGAAAGCATGAGGGAGTGTCTCGCAATATATTCCCTGTCAGAGTTGAACAGAACTACTGCAAACAGCTTACTTGTCGTAAGTCAAGCTTACGAAAAGTAAGCCATTTGCAAGCAAAGCATACTAGCCTTTACTGAATGGAGAAGTCATGGATCGAGATCGCGACGTCACGAGAATGCGATGTTTGGCACAAGTAAGAATGGTTTCTTGGCATCGAGGCGATTGGAATCAAAGTTGTAACTCAAGCAATCATCGCGGTATTCTGTAATTACTGCTGAATGAATGAATGTATGCATGTAAGCCGTTTGCAACCCTGGGTATGGCTTGAGTCGTGACTTTAACAAGGAGACGATGTGCAAAAGCAAGAAATGAAAAAAGAGGTTAGATGTTCAGCTGAGGCTCAGCTGACATGGCATCAATTCAAACGTGGTTTTGCTCTAAAGACTGTGGCAGTCTCATTGAAGGCCACTGTTGCAATAGGTTGGCTCGAAAGTTCTCGGACATTGTTTTAGAGAAAGAATTTCGTCTCGATGTAAGCACTGACTGGGGCATGCTGCAAACCGTTGGATAAAGGAAAGCAACTTCTACAGATTTATGATAAGCATAAGCACATCAATGTTCCCTCTGGAAATCGGCAAAGATTGTAAAGCATAGGTCAACTTAACTTAGATCTCCCGCTTCCATGAACCACGTATGCTCCAATTCATAGCATGCCTATACATACATACATACACAGTTTGTATGGAATTTGAGTTTGAACAACAAGAAAAACGAGGTAATTGAAAGTGGCAAACTCCGCCCCATTGACCATAGGCTACTCCCACTTGCGCAGTTATTAGTTATAAGCGCGAGAGAGTACAGCTGCACATTTTCGAGAATGTGCATGCATTGGGTTTCGAAAAATCGCAGATCCAGTCCAAGAATGCCCGAGAACTGTCCGAGAAATATTTGGAACTAGAAGCCAAAATTAGTACGAATTACGAGGATATCAAATTTTTAAACTAGCTCTTCTACAGAGATTTATATTTCTTCAAGCAGACTATGCTTCAAATCTCACCCCTGTAATGTAAGCCGTCCAAACTCACCGAAATTGGATACTACGCACTGATGGTGGCAGATTCGCACGCATCACATTCCAAGCTACCGTACCTTCCTGTGGACCAACAACGCCACGCCCTTTATGGTCCAAGTAGTGAAGGGGATCGTCATCGTCTGCATTAAGGGACATTTATCTCATAGGCTGTTATCTTTCCGATTTTCCCAACTAACCGTAATTGAATAGGCCTATCCAGTCGATCATATTGCCCTCATGGGAGAGTTTCCAGGAGACAAATATCAACTAAATAGAAGAAAGTGGGCGGGTCAATTGATTCCCATGGGGAAGCTCGAATTATACATTCTTACCTGACTTGAATCTTCTCCTAGAAACACCGTTTCTGCTGAAACACCTAATCGATCGTCACATAACGGAGGAGTGACTTGGATTTGGGACGCAACATCGCGTCGGATTACAATCATGCGCACTAAAAAAATTACCGTAATCGGCAAGCAACCGGTAATCCATACGAGAGGTGATACAGAAGTCACGGTGAAAGGAGCTTGAAAGTAAATAAAAAAAGCGATTCAAAAAATTAAGAATTTATACATGATTCAATAGGACTATCTCTCTCGTCTTGTTTGTGTTTTTATTTCTCGTTTCATAGTGTTAAAAAATACATTACGAAACTGGTAACATGTAAAAATATTATATAAAGCTCTTGCTTTGTTTGCTAGATGCTTACGCTGGAAGCTTTATGAGAACAGAAGAAGCCATGCAGAAAATCACAGCCCATTAGACATATAGGTGCGAGTAGTAAACATATGTGGAGCAAGCCCAAGCGAGACAAATGATTGATGGCCAGCGTTATCTGTGAAATGATCAAATCCAGATGTAGTTCGAAAATCGTACTAGTAGAGCATAAAACAAAGTAGTTCTTACGAGGATAAAAACGGTGAAGCGAAAACCAAAAATCTTTCATTTTAATATTGACTCAAAATCTAGAGCCTACTTAACAAACGTAAAAAAATTGAGCATTAAGAAAATCACGGGTTTGCTGAAACAACAGATCCAGATTGAAAAGCCAGTTTGGATGGAAAAGAAATATTCAGATGATCAAAAATAGGATGGATGGCCTTTCCCTTCAATTATCATAAAACTTTTACTGACTATCCTGAAATTTTTTTCAGTGTTACAAATTCCAGACCTACGTAATTTCAAAAGTTAATCAAAATTATTTTTTTGACTGGATCAACTTTCTATTTTTTTATATTAAGATTATTCTTTAATTAGATTATTTTTATTCTGATAAATTTTTTATATTTAGATTATTTTTTTGATTGTTCTTCGATAAACAGAATGAGTAATGCAAATTTTAGATGTTAAAAAGCTATGGATTAAAAATTGTTGCGACAGAGGTCAAAAACCGACTGGAAAAAAATGAAAAAAAAACGATTTAAAAGTCACAAGCACCTTTCGCAGGTGTCAGAGAGATTTTTGGTGGTAACTAGCATTATTCCAGACTTGCCTTAGCTAGCGATCGGACAAAGCAGTTATTTTTGACTTATCTCGTCAAATAAAAGTTGATCTCCAAGCCAATGCATACGAAGTTGTAAGCAACAATATTCCATGAAGAGGTAAGTTTCAGAAGGCTTTTGGAGATGCAGACGCTGGGCAGAAAATGTTGAATCTTTATGATTTGGATAGTAGTCGATTTGATTTCATACTGTATTGTAAGTTCGCTCACTCCCTTTGAAGCTCAACCAATAAGCTCAACCAACAAAAAAACCCCCAAAGATTTGTCTTCCTTTACAAAGAAAACTAGTGGACCAGTAATCTAAAAGTGCCAGGTCTGGGAGTGTTTGCTTCGGGACCCGCCGCGGTTTCCCGCTATCTGATGTTTTTTTTAAATTGACGTTAGGATTTCTATATATTTTAGATTAGGACTTTACCAAACAAATAACATTTCCATTTTTACCGATCTCCTACTCTTCACATTTCGGCACACTGTTTGAAATCACTGACTTGCTTAATTTGAAAACATTAAACGCAAAAAGTAGCACGATGATGCTTTTTTATCTCGATATGGGAGGAGAAGTTGAAGTGAAGTTAGATCAAAGCTTAAGTATATTCAAGAAGTATGAATTTTTGCGCATTGAGATCTCAATTGAAATTTCGAACAATTTTTCAAACAACGTGCGATAAAAGAATATATCAACTGACATGTGAGTCTGCACACTATGCGCAGCAATCGACGGCACTCTTTCTAGTAACTCCGCAATAAAACCTTTTTTAGCTGTAAAAACTGTGAAAAAATTGTAAAAATGAGTATTACTAGCCCAATACATACCCAATCGAGCAAAACGAAAAACGAGAAAAACGAGAAATCACTGAAAATGAGCAGGTTCGGATATTACCAATCGTCAAGTAGCGCGCATAATGTGCAACATGCATCCCAAATTGCAAATGTCTAGACCAGGGTAAAGCGGGGGGTGCGGCACGCCGCAGAGGGGGGGTCGTATTGAGGAGTCAAAAGGGGAGGGGGTCGTAGTTAGGTGATCTGATTATAGCGATAACATGATATTCGTATCATATCCATAATTAGCACGTCAATTAACCCCTGTAGACAAAGTGTGAGCGAATTCTGAAGATTCAAGATACTAGGCTACCTAAGTGAAATGGTCAAATTCCAACATGGTTAACTTTCAAAGGTGAATTAGCTATCCGTTTTCGCACTCAAGACAAAGCACTACTCCTTCTTTGTCCACCTCAGGAATCCCGCTTCAGAAGACCTCCAAACTGTGGAATTAGAAGCCAACCAAAATCTCATTTTTCCCATTTTTCGCTTTTGATGGCTGTGCTTTCACCAAATATTACTCAGAGCTAAGAAGACGAATCAGGCTCAAAACATCCCTATGGAATCTACGAGGTTTAGGCTATCGATTCATATAAATATTGTCCGCTAAAAATGTTTTTTTGATATAGTTAATGGCCTGCGGCACCCCTGCGGCACCCCTGCGGCAGCCGCAGGTTTTGAGGGGGGGGTGCCGCAGGCCATTAACTATATCAAAAAAACATTTTTAGCGGACAATATTTATATGAATCGATAGCCTAAACCTCGTAGATTCCATAGGGATGTTTTGAGTGCCAGTGCCAGTGCCTGATTCGTCTTCTTAGCTCTGAGTAATATTTGGTGAAAGCACAGCCATCAAAAGCGAAAAATGGGAAAAATGAGATTTTGGTTGGCTTCTAATTCCACAGTTTGGAGGTCTTCTGAAGCGGGATTCCTGAGGTGGACAAAGAAGGAGTAGTGCTTTGTCTTGAGTGCAAAAACGGATAGCTAATTCACCTTTAAAACAAAGTTAACCATGTTGGAATTTGACCATTTCACTTAGGTAGCCTAGTATCTTGAATCTTCAGAATTCGCTCACACTTTGTCTACAGGGGGTATTTGACATGCTAATTATGGATATGTTGTCCATTATGTTTGACAGAGCCTTCAGGTAATACTATCTTAAGTGTATAGTTTAGGAGGGGGGTCTTATTAAGACAGCAATCATGGGGGGGGGGGTCGTATCCGACGGTCGAGTGCCGCACCCCCCGCTTTACCCTGGTCTAGACGATAGCTGCAAAGGAAACGAAAGTTTCTTTATAACGCCTACAGCTTGTAGCATTGATGAAAACTTCTTTCAAGTAGCACACAAACATAAAAATAAATATAGGACACATAAGCTATACAAGGCAAAGCTTCGACTTGGATATCTTTGAAAAGATTCGGTTTGGAGATGCAGATTCTGCAGTGAGTGCGCATGATAAATGGGAGAAAAAACGTTGACCTTGAATCGACACAACCATATTTTATCCCATTTTGGCTTGCATCATAATTCAAGCGCAGGAGTGACAATGGGCCATCATGGCCGGTGGATGCTTGCCTATATCCTTCTTTATGAGCTTTTAAAAATCAATTTCTTCAAGATAATGTTAGAGAAAACTTCTGCTATTTTTCTCTAGCTCTTGCTCCCAAGAAGACATGAAAGTCTTGAACGATTGCAAACAAAATGCATATACCCTAAAATCCCATCGATAAGAGCGGTATAATTTACCGGTGAAAAATGAATTGGAATGAAGTTGAAATTGAATGCAGTCACCCCTCTAACTTGATGGATGGATAAATAAATCGGAGAAAAAGTTTAGAAGAAGCTCCGTCCCTCAACTCTAAGCCCCGCCCACTTAATAAATTCATATAGAAATTCCGAAATTCCGTTAAAATAGCTATTTTTCTATATGAATTGTTTATTAAGTGGGCGGAGTTTAGAGTTGAGGGGCGGAGCTTCTTCTAAACTTCTTCTCCGGTTTTTATTTATCCATCCATCGAGTTAGAGGGGTGACTGCATTCAATGTCAATTCATTCCAATTCATTTTTCACCGGTAAATTAAACCGCTCTTATCTATGGGATTTTAGGGTAAATTTGGATGTCTAAATTAAAGGTATGTGGTTGGATCTACTAGTTTTATATAGCAAAATATACAAATGAAATGAAATGTCTACAGTTGCTCTAAATGCGAAATTGTAATCAAAATGTTCAATGAGCTTTTTGTAAATAATTCAAGTACCGCGGATTTCCATATATACTCTTACTCCAAATAAACTTGTGACCAGTTGTCAATCCAGAAACTTCTAAAAAGGTTTTCAAATTTTATGTAATTTCGACACACTGGAATAATTGTAGTTACCTTTTAAAACTTCTATCTTCTAGTCAAAAGTGAAAGGACTCTTCGCGTCATTGCTTATTTGACATTCTCTAAGCTCTTTTCATTAATTTTCGCCACTTTCCGCTTCAAATATCCTATCCTATCCTGAAGGCAATAATTCTATCTCTCCAGCGTCAACCCTGTGGTTATCGCTTACACTATACTGAGAGAAGCGCCAAAACCATCGCTTTCCTCTCTTTTTCTAAACTCTAACCTTAGTTTTATATAGAATTCGGGATTTTCTTCGAATCTATGTATGGTTGAAAGAGGCAGTTAATATGTGTATTCACACAGCATACATGCTTGCAGATTAAAATCTGCACATTATGGCTTTTATTTGAAGTGCAATTTTCCTTTTTTGCAATTATAAATGCCTTAGATGTTCTGCTCTAAAGTGCCAACATTTCAGCTAAGCCAAGATTCGCGCCTAATTCGCCTAAAATATCATGTGCGATTGCGGATCTTCACCAGAATTTAATTATTTTTGAAAAATTATCAAACTTACCAGTTGCTTTTTTCTTTGCTCTTTGCACCTTTGAACTTTTGATTAGATGAGACGAAAAATAAATCAAGAAATACTATGATATAGACAAAATTCTAATTATGTTATAGAAATGAATAAAAATAAAAGTAGTGATATAGTTTTTCTTATGAGTTTATGGAAAGGCTGAAACGCTCTTTTCGACTTCTAAAAATCGACAAGAGAAACGGAAGAAAAACAAAAAAGCAA